AATGCATAGAAAAAGAAAACAAAGAAGACGGAGAATAAAAGGAAAAGAGACTAGAGTAGAGAGAGAAAGAAGTCAGAAAAAAGAGATAGATAGGTAAAGGAAATGGAGACAGGGAAGGAAAGTGAAAGTGAATGAGAATAAAAGGACAAGGAGACAGAGATGGAAAGAAAAGAAGTCAGAGAATATAAGAAAGATAGAAAAAGAATAAGGGGAGGCAAAAAGGAAATGGAAAAGATACTAAGAGGAAAAAAAAAGAAAATGAGACAAAAAAAAGAGAGTATAAAGTCACAGAAAAGAAGAGAAAACAAAGAAGAAAAAAGAACGAAGAAGAAGAAAAGTCAGAAGAGAGAGAGGCACAGAAAAAAGGAGAAAGACAAGTAAGAAGATCTTGAAAGGAAGCGTCATCTGAGAACACCAAAGCGCCTCTCTCACCAGGAGTGTGAGAGATGATGTCAGGGTTCCTCTCGTCCGCCTGCGTGACCTCCGACGCCAGGTCCGTGGAGCCGCCGTCCTTGCTGTGGCTGGAGGGCCGTCGGTCCCTGCCCTCCGAGCTGCCGTCCTCGCTGCCACCATTTCCAGCAGCCCTACGACAAACCCTGAGCCAGATGAGGACAGCTGCCACCACCACAACTGGCACTGCAGCCAGCCCGCCGCCCACCATCACCGCCAGAGGCACGCTCGTACCACGCCCCCTGTCGCGCGTCGGCTCTGCAGGAATGGCACACGAAATACACGGAGGGGCCTTTGGGCGGAGGGGAAGGGGCCTTAGGGAGTCAGGGGCGGATGGGGATGAATTGAAATCAAGGGCAGGGGACAGTTAGATTGTGATATATACGCTGCACGACAATGAAACACTGGAGTTACACATATTAAAAAATGCAGGAAGTAAGTACATACACAGAAAAACAGATATACAGATACACTCACACCCACCCACACACACACACAAACACACACATGCACACACACACACACACACACAAACACACACACACAAACACACACACACACACACACACACACACACACACACACACACATACCCCCCCACACACACACACACCCCACACACACACACACACACACACACAAACACACACACACACTCACACACACACACACACACACATACCCCCCCCCCCCCCACACACACACACAAACACACACACACACTCACACACACACACACACACACACACACATACCCCCCCCCACACACACACACCCCACACACACACACACACACAAACACACACACACACTCACACACTCACACACACACACACACACACACACACACGAACTTCTTCCTGCCACCCAATTACCGCCGACTCCTCTCCGCCTCATCACTCACCTGCGCTCGTCTCCTCCTGTGTCTCGGGAACCTTGACGGTGTAAGCCTTCAATTCGGTCACGTGAGAGGCGCCCTTGTCGTTAATGGCGGCGATAATGATCTTGTAGGCGTTGGCAGGGCGGAGGTTGGCGACGCTGAAGGAGGGAGACGGGCGGGTGACCTCGACCACGGGGGAACTCGAGCCGATTTGGTACACCTGCAGGAGACGTTGCGATTGGGTGCTTCCGGCGATGAGTAGGGGGGAGGGGGGAGGGGGAGCTATTGATTCGATTGGCGATTGAGTGCTTCCGGTGATGGTTAGGGGAGTTGGTGATTCGTTTGAAATGGTGATGGTGGTGATTCCATGGGGAGTGAGGTGGTGATTATCATATATATATAAAATATGTGCGCTCGCGCGCGCGTGTATGTATGTATGTGTGTGTGTGTGTGTGTCTGTGTGTATCTGTGTGTGTGTGTGGATGTGTATGATTCTGCAGATTCTGTGTGCAGTGCTATTATTACTCCTTTATAAATCCGATGCCCTTAGCAGTATTTCTACCGATAAGTGTTGCCTTGAGCCAACAAATGGTCGGATACTATTTCGACAGATGCCGGTGGAGACGGAGTGATACGATGATGGGAATCTATTGTAAGGTGAATGGGGCTTGAAAAGAAGCATGATGATGGTTATTCAGATTATATTTGCTAATGAGGACTGGGACTTTTTATAGCGACAATACTAATTCACTGATATGTATAAGAAAAACATCATTAGGATCAGCAACAAATACAATACAAATGATAATAATACTAATGATTAACATCCCCATTCCAGTGATTTTTAATTACATCCTTCCTATGTTTAACATGCAAAACCATACCGTCGAACAACCTCAATTCAAATTCAAACTCGCACGGTAATCACTCCCCTCAGACACTCTACCCACCATGCGCATGAATACTGCATGAGGGGAATTCATGAAGCCAGCAATCTCACCTGCAGGAGAAAGTTCTGAGTGAGTCCGCCATCATCCCCCGCCAGGCACGTCACCTGCAAGGAGCTGATTGTGACGTCGAACACACGGCAGTTGTGCGGCGGGTCCGGCTTGCCTGCGAGATGGATGGGAGCGTCAGGGCTGCTATTATGGGACGGTCTCTTGCGTGTGT